AATACCATTGAAAATTTCCACTTCCTCCTTTCCTCCCACTTCCCTCCTGCTCCTCCACTCCCCTTCCCCCTCCCCCACCAGTCCTAAGAGAGGGCAGGGTGTGCTGCCCTGTGGGAAGTCCAAGGCCCTCCCCCCTCCATCCAGGCTTAGGAAGGTGTGCATCCAAATAGAATAAGATCCAAAAAAGTCAGTACATGCAGTAGAGACAAGTCCCAGTGCCATTATCATTGGCTTCTCAGTTTGCCCCAATTGTCAGTCACATTCAGAGGGTCCAGTTTGATCACATGTTCATTCGGTCCCAGTCCAGCTGGATTTGGTGAGTTCCCATTAGCTCAGGCACACTGTCTCAGTGGGTGGATCAACCCCTCATGGTGCTGACTTTCTTGTTCATATTCTCCCTTCTTCTGCTCTTCATCTGGACCTTGGGAGCCCCGTCTAGTGCTCCCATGTGGGTCTCTATCTCTATCTCCATCTGTCATTGGACGAAGGTTCTCTTCTTTGCTCTTTTGAGGAATAAGCATCTGCTGGCTCCCACCTTAAACAGGGTGTTGACCTGTTTAAATCCTACCAAATCCTCTAATTGTTAACTTTTTCTTAAGTTGCATCAGCTTCACAAGGGATAACTACCCCTGAGAGTCTTCCAATGTTGTGTGGGAAATTGTCCACACTACGACCTCATATGGAGTTCTTAAATAGACCCTATATAGACCCTATATAAAGAGAACCTTATAAATGTGATGAGAGGTGGTCCCAGATGGAATGATCCAACTGGAAGGCTGCTCCCTTAGGACACATCTTCAAGTCAGAAGGCCACATGAACTTACTTTTTTAAAAAAAAGTTTCTATTTTCCTAATTTGAATGGAACTGGCCCATTCATAGATACTTGAAAAAGTTTCTCTGCCCAGTTCCAGTGTGCAACTTTTATGGGAATGAGAAGGACCTGACTCTCTCTCGAAGGCTAGATACAGCAACTGCAAACTCATCCATGGATAGGCACTGCTCAGATGAGTACCTTGGTCCAATAAAGTATCTTTGACAATGATGGGTAGAGAGCTGTAATACTTTGGGTCCTATTACATATGAGGCAGAAGATGGGGTTGTTTTCTCCATGAACTGCCAGGCTGTACACACCGGTGAAGAAAGGGGAGCCCCTGATCCTCAAGGAAGCACTGTACATTGATGGGTAGGTAAAAAAAAAAAAAAAAAAAAAAAAAAAAAAAAAAAAAACCTTTGCAGTAGAGAGCATTAACCTACCTTCCAAAGACAGGGAATGTCTGCAATGATAAGAGCTAAGGTTCCAGCAGTCAGGGGCCAAATTCCTATCAATACGAATCTTAATAACAAGGGCAGAAAATCCTAATTCAATGCATTGACAGTGGGTCATTTCCAAGAGCCCTACACTGTAGCTTCCTCAGTGGCAGACTCAACGATGGGTGGGGCGGGATGTGTGGAAACACTTGGTGTTCTGTGGCTTACCAATCCTTAGTCCCCTAAAAGCGACGAAGTTGATCAAGTTGCCAAGATCAAATGGTCTGAAGAATCCTACCTGAAGATGTAGCCTCCTCGCTGTAAAGCTGACTATACCACAGAAGCTAGAGAACCACGTGGGCTGACGTTCTGCATCAGGGATTCACATCAGGGTGATAGACATCACATGCTCTTGCCAGCAATGTGTGCTCAGGAGTACCCAAAGTGCCTGGGGGTTGCAGAGAGTGCCATTGGGAGAGGGAATCCACCCTTTCGGAGGTGGCAGAGAAACCACGCCAGTCCTGTACCAAGCTCAGGAAAACCTGGTGTGCTTTGGCAGATGCCGACGTGACCCTGCCACCAGATGTCAAATCCTTGCCATGATTTTCCCAGTAAAGCGCCACCTAGAAGATGACAAAACCAGAACTTACTAGGCTAAAATGGTAGAAAGTGACCAAAGTCCCTACACTTCACAAGTCACAAAGGGTAACAAAGAGCTAATAAATGACCGAGACATACTACAGACCTTCTACCTGCAGGACTCACCCAGGGGAGAATCACTGCAGGTTTTACAGACCCACTCCTACTCTATGTAAGGGGGACTATGGCTTGAGAAGTCTCCATAGAAACGCTTCAGAAAGACAAGCTAGTAGCGATGCCACAGTCAGCCACCTGCAGCTCCCTGCTCTGGAACTACGAATTCGAATGGACAGACCCGTCAAGCCAGAGCAGGGACATGACAGCGATTCGTCGTGTACGGATACAGCCAATAGAACAGTAGACACCGATGCCTGATGTGGCCCTGGGAAGCCTGAACCAGCCATGGATAGTTCACAGTATCAGCTCCACGAGGGGAGGACCAGGTTAGACATTTACATGTTGTGAACATGGTCTAGCGAGGTTCAGGCATTTGGGAGGGAATCATTCCTAAAGAGACATTTATAATAATGTGACAGTGACACCTCCCTATGGTATCCTTTCCCTTTCCCCTAATAAATTTAACCGTACTTTTCTTGGGTGATGAGTTATAGCGCTGCTGTAGCAACCAGATACAGTGCCTGGTGCTTTGTCTCAGGGACATACGGAAGATTCAGAGTAAGGTAAGAACAGAAGGCACAAGAAAGGCCTCCGCCTTTGAAGGGGAACATGGGAAACATGTCAGGGTCTGAAGTCACAGGGGCCTTGTCCTATGAAGTCAGCAACTGGAATAATAGATGCTAGCATGGGAAGCGCATTCCCATCCACTTCTTTTCTATGAAGCTGGTGAAACATAGGAGGATAACCTCTAACGGACAAGCAGAGAAGACCCATTTGGAACTAGTTAATATGACTCTGGGCGCTAGCACTCCACCCTTCCATCCTGCTCATGCATGTCCTTGTCTATCGAGTGTCCATAGCCAAGCACTAAGTAAACTGTCCAAACCCCGTAGAGACTCCCTAGCTCTTTCTTTGGTATCTTTCTGAAGTCTTTGAATATTTAAATGATAGCTAGCCAGGCAGATGGCAGACAATTAGGAATAATAGGAGAAGGCACAGGCATGGATTCTGTGATCTGGATGCAAGTTGGGCGGGAGACCTTCAAGTCACCTGACTGAACTTATTCTCCTGACTCGACTTTTTTCCAGTGACAAAGGGGCCCATTGATTCCCAGCATTTTCTGGGAGAGGCACCGATGTATTGTGACATACTTCAAGAAGTGGGTGGAAGCCTCTGACAAGCACTTTTGTTGAGAGCTCTTAAGGACACTGGGTCACAATGAAGTTGTGGTCCCTTTTGCCGTGGAGCTGGCACTCCACCCAAGCTGAATGGGATGATCATAATGTCAGCAACAGAACTGTGTAGCAAGCAGCAAAAAGCACGCACTGGCAGAGCAAGCAGTGGAATCACTAACCAATAGATCCATCATGCGAGAAACAAAAGCAAAACTTTCCTTGAATTGACTATCAGTGTGGAAAACAAAACAAAACAAAAATCCAGCAGGCCAGAAAGATAGGGAGAGAGGGAGGGAAAGCGGGATTAGTGTTTTAATGGATTTAGGCGAGGCCTAGGAGGTTGACTGGTAAACAGAGAGGAGATGGCTATCCTCGTTAAAGGCTGCCTGAGTGATTCGAATGTCAGATCAGGAGTTGAATCCATGCACCAATGTGCGGTGATCTGTATGATTTACTTTTCCATTGTTGTGGTAAAATATCATAGCCAAGAGGAACTTACAGAAGAGCCTATTTTGGCTTTTGGTTCAAGGAGGAAGGAAGTGGTCCATAATGATGGGGAAGGCATGCCAACAAGAGACCACAGCAGGAAACTAGGAGCTCACATCTTCAAAAACACACACAAAGCAGAAGTAGGCTTTCTAATCTCCCAAACAGGACCTCCAGCTGAGAATCAAGTATGCAAATACCGGGGCCCACAGGGGGTAATTCCCACTCGACATATGGTCCGCATAATTAAATCAGTTGCTGTGACATACAAAAACCTGCGATAACTGGGTAAGAGAAGGGTTATCATTCCCACTGATGGGTTAGATGTGGGGTGAGAAAGCCACCAAACCATTGTCACATCCCCTGGCATCACTAGATGCACAATATGGCTTGAATGTGAAACATCCCTCACAGGTCCATATGCAAGGGGTTTGGTTGTCTGCTGGACTTCCAGAAGTAACCGGGTCCTGAAGGCTCTGTCCTAATCAATGAATTAATCCCATGATAGATTTGTAATATGGCATTATGGGAAGATGAATAAAAAGGGCGGGGGGACTTGTTGGAGGAAGTCTGCCTTTGGGGGAGCTACCTTGTCCTTGGCTCCTGTCTGTGTTCTGGCTGTCATGAGGTGAGCTGTGTTGTTCCAACATGCAATTCCCATCATGACATTCATGCCCAGAAGCAACGAAGCCATTTAACATCAAACCAAAATCTTGGAAACTATGAGCCAGAAAAAAATCTTCCTCCTTCTAGATTACAGGCCTGATGCGTAATTTCTCAGGGTCCCTCCCTCTTCCTCTGTCTTTCCCTCCTTCCCTCTGTGTGTGTGTGTGTGTGTGTGTGTGTGTGTGTGTGTTCTCGCTCTTCTTGTGTTGCTGGACTAACCCTACATACAGTCACATGCACGTTAGATACATGGCTACATTTGCACGTTTCTACATTTGTGGAGGGCTCCTCCAGGGTAGGTATCATACTTTGTATTTCCACTATGTTCTGCAAGAGGCAAAAGATGCAAGAGGAAAAAACAAAACCCTCAGGTTAGAAAATGCAAGTGCTATTGTAGACAGAGAAAGGCTAGGAGCAAGCTCTAAGTGAAGTATTGATCTGCTGTAAGGATAGTCTAACCCTTGGAGCAGCTTCCAAAGGGTTGGATTCCCAATGGAGCCACTAAAATGCTCAGAAGGAGGTAAGAGGGGCAACTGCAGAACTGTTCAGAACCAGCAAGGATGACCAGTCTGGACAGTACCAGGTTCCACGGTGTTTATGTTGTAAGACACTGAATTAAAGACAGCATTTTGCATTGTTTTGTAAAATGACATTTACATGATGGAAAGTGTTAACAATGAATTCTTAAAATAAGATTGACAAGCCAAAGGAATGAGAAGGTCAGTAGGCGTAAACTTTCACTTTATGGACTTCCTTGTCCTCGCACTCCCTCTGCTTGTCGTAGTAGTAGAAAGTATTGTCCCTCCGTTGAAGCTTCTTCACGTAGCCTGTCTCTGGCCAGCGGTCTACCTGCACAGGAAGGGCGAGAATGAGAATGTGGTCACGCCAGTTTTATTTCATATCATTTTACCATCAAACAACTTGTATCAAAAATTAAAGTCTGGGGGTTGGGGAGATGGCTCAGAGGTTAAGAGCACTGGTTGCTCTTCCAGAGGTCCTGAGTTCAATTCCCAGCAGCCACATGGTGGCTTACAATCACCCCCTAATGAGATCTGTGTGCTGTGCAGGCATGTAGGCAGGCAGAACACTGGATAGACAATAAATAAATGATCAATTAAAGGCTGAGGTAAAGTTTTAAGATCCTTCTGCTTTTGGGGAGAGCACTGTGTGCTCACATGAAGCAAACGTTAGTTTCTGGCCTTACTCTGGAGGACACAACACTGAAATATGCTTCTCTTTACAGGCCAGTTTTGAGGTTTCAGCGTGTACACCACGGCCAAGATTGGAGATACATGCCAATACAGGCAGCCCTTCCCTTTCCCAGCCCTCCTATAAATCACAGCCTGCAACTGGAAGGAAAAATGAGTGCACTATTTGGTGAACCGTGTCTACTATTTTCTGGTAAATTTGCCCACTTTTCCTTTCCAACTCTTTCACCTGCTTTTGCTTGAGACAAACTCTCCCAATGTAGCCCAAGCTTAAGATCCCGAGTCTTCTGAGATCTGGGATCTCAGGCATGTGTCACAATGCCCGGACCTTGTGTCTTCTCTTGCCTGCTTTGATTATGTGACAGTAGAAACAGACCCCACACATCTGGTCAGCGTGGCAGGTCCAGCTGCATTTGCTTTGTAGGAAAATAGCTACAAAGCTTGTTTCTAAGGCTTAAGTCAGAGCTGCCACCAACAGGGAAAGGGGGTGTTCCCAAGATGCTGGGACAGATTCTTATCCCTTCACCAGGTTCCAAAGACACCCTTGTTAGTGTATACACACCTATTGGCTCTTCAGAGAACTCCAGGTAGCTCTGTCAGCATCAACTATAAGAATTGCAGGAGGGAAAACTCCATGGTCAGGTAAATGGTCAAATCGGGAGGCACCCAATGATGTGAGTTATCTAGCTTGCTATCCATTAATGTTAAATTAGTTGTTAATTGTAGAGTGTAGCTACACAGATGTGATGTTTGCTCCTGTAATCCCAGAGCCTGGGAAGCACTAGTAGGAGGATTGATGCTTATCTGAAGTGCTCAGCACACAGTGAATTCAAGGTCAGCCTAGTTTCGAGTGAGATCTTATCTCAAGAAAAAAAAAAAACAAGAAAAGAAGAAGCCAATATATACAACTCCTTTCTAATTTACTGTCAAAATAAGCAGAGGGGAAATAATGTTTGACCACAACTGAATATATGATAATAGAGTTACCAGAGTAAGGAAAATGACCGTTTGAAGACTCCTGTATTAGAGAGCGCAGTAGTTCAGAAAGTGAATGTGCCTAGCCAAAGGAGCACACTGGCCCCCAACTTATAGACCACCTTCAGGGACTTTTGTCTCCCTCTCTCGAGACGGGAGTTTCAGAGAATTCCTTTCAGTGGTGTTTTGGTACTCTGTTATTAAGATGCTTTTCCCCCTCCGTGAAGCTGGTTTTTAGCAAGCTGGAAGAGCCATCAATCTTACCATAGCGCCTTGCTTCACCTGTCTGTACTCGATCTCGTCCCGATACCCTGCTTGCTGGAATCTGTACAGGTTCTCTACCTCTTCTGACCATTTCTTGGCGCGACTTATGGATTTCGGTTTCACGTCAGAACTCGCCATGGCTACAGAGGCCTTCCTAGCAATTATTTCTGAAAGAGGTTAGAACAATTTAGTAGGTAACATGCTGACTGCAACTTTCAAAACATTTAGAATGAACAATAACAAGAAAAAAAAAAAGAGAACCTTGCTGGGCGGTGGTGGCACACGCCTTTAATCCCAGCACTTGGGAGGCGAAGACAGGCGGATCTCTGTGAGTTAAAGACCAATCTGGTCTACAAGAGCTAATTCCAGGACAGGCACCAAAGTTACAGAGAAACCCTTTCTCAAAAAAATAATAATAAAATAAAACAAAATACCTCAGTAAAATTTCACACTTTAACATTCATTTCCAAGACTGTTATTTTTGGGAAAACAAAACAATGCACCCAAAATACTCTTAAGCCCTGGAAGACATGCAGAGAATAACTAATTTCACCATCAAGATTGTATTTGGAGTTGCTAAGTAATGTTCCAAAATAGCCATTCTTGGTTTCTGGACACTAGATAGTGTACATTTACGAAAACACACTGTCAGTTGTATCTGCTCAATATATCATCAAAATATCCCACCACTATTCCATTAATTTATAGTCTCGCTCTCTTCCTCTCCTCCCTCTTTTAAAAAAGGAACCTCAGGACAATCATTCTTAGCAAGGCACGGTGACGGACTTGGGAGGCCAAGGCAGGAGGACCTGGGGTGAGGCCACTCCGCGCTGCCTACAAATCACTCTGCTTTCTCTCCCCTTCTTGTTCCCGAGATGCACCTTCCATTAATTTCTGAAGACATCGTAATCTATCTTCTTGGGTCACAGTGTCACACCGCCCTCTGGTAGACTAGCGTGGGAAGACAACTGGACCAATTCCATGCTACGGCTTCCAGGGTTACTACTGGTCATTCAGCTATCCAAGCTTGATTCATATTAACTGTCTATATAGCAAACTTCTATTGCTGAGCTTTTCCCCAGTTACTGGGACTGAACTCAGGACCTCATGAGTCCTAGGCAAGCATTCTACCACTGAGCTACACACCCCAACACCGCAGTCAGTTTTTCAAAGGCATTGTCTTGTATTTGTTTTTCTCAAATACTTACTTTGTTACAAAAGATTATTTAGCTGACACAAAGTACCCAAAATTTTCACCATGATTCCTTGAATCCATTCTATTAAAAAAATTTATTTTGTCTAAAATTCATTGACATAATTCATAAAGAAGATCCTTAAGGGAATTTATGTATTTTTGATCACTGCAACAAATTCTCATTAGGTTATTATTTTAAAGGCCAAGAAACACATTAAAGTACAATGATAGGAAAGGAAAAACTATCCTCATATCAATTAGAGATATCCCTCCTTGCCACTGGGTGAACAGCATCCCAAACATAGGATGAATCAGGAGCATATGAGCAGACTCACAACAAATGCCTTTACAAATGGAATACATTTAGCTTTAAAGAGAGAAAAGCAGGAAAAGGGAAAGACAGACTTGCTGGATTTCCTTGACTATTTCCTCAGTGTGGAAAATGTAGCCTTCAAGTCTCTTCTCATGGTTAGTAAAAGGGAGGCTATCAGGAGACTGAGGCCTTGGTTTAGTTTCTGGTTTGAGTACTAAGGGGCTGGCCTGGGACAGAGAGGAGCTTGTCTACGCTCCCCCTGCATCCTCTAGATTTTTTGCCCCATTGCTTACATTATCACATTCTAAAGAGAAGGCTGTTTACATTCTCTTTGGAAATCACAGTCCCACCTTTGTTCGGTTTAGCTCCAGAGTTAAACTAATGTAAATGAAATCACTGGACTAGTATAGCTCTAATTCTGATGAAAATAGCAACCACACACTGGATAAAGAATCAGGACTGCTTTGTGCATTTTTTTCCAGTGTGCAAACTGACATGCACGTTGGTTAGACTAGAAAAGATTAGGCCTTTGTTAGAGTGTGCGTTTTTAGATTTAGGTTCATGCTGCCTCTTATTGACTTCATTGTTACAGTATTGTGAGAGTCTTTTTAAAATAGGGAAAGCCTGACAAAGCAAAAAGGTTTCTTATTTTATAATTCCATTAATTTCACTGTGAAGTTCATTACATCCCCAAGGCACCATTCACTAGCGATGACTAACAAGTGAGTTGAAAAGATGTAGCAGAGCTTGGCAGTCCACTCGTGTAGGGGAGCTGACACACACACACACACACACACACACACACAAATATGATTTGAAGAATCAAGAGAGGGAAAAATGTGAATTCATTTATTAAAGATACATTCAAGCCAGGTGTAGTGGTGCGCATGTTTAATCCATGCAGAGACAATTGAGTTTCTGTGAGTTGGAGACCAGCTGCTTGTTCCAGGACAGCCAAAGCTACACAGCGAGACAGTCTCAGACAACAAACAAACAAAGTAAACCCACTCGAGTGGCTAGAGAGATTGCGCAGTGGCTACAGCTTCTCAAGTTTAATCTCAGCACCAACTCAAGCACGCACAGCCACCAGAACCTCCAACCCCTAGGAGGCCCATCAGCACCCTCTACTGGCCTCCATGGGCACTGCACCCATGTGTACACGGCTTCTTAAGACATGAATACATGTCATAAAAATAATTCTAAAATAATAAAAAAACTTTTAAAATATTCAAAATTAGTCATATTTTCTATGAAGTTAGTGGCTGAATCACTTTACTGTTCTATAGACAAATCTTGTTTTCTTTTTTTTTTTTTTTTTTTTCACTGGAAAAGTTTTTATTGAGACCAGCCACACCAGTCAAGCAAATTCTGGCATTAAGCACCTTCCTCCTTGGCAATGCGGTCTTTCTTGAGTGGTCCCATGAATGCTTTCTTCTCCTCCATGGTCTGGAAACGACCGTGGCCAAACTTGGAGGTGGTGTCAATGAATTTCAGGTCAATCTTCTCCAGAGCCCGCCGTTTGGTCTGCACCAGCAAGGACTTGCGGAGTGTGAGCACTCGCTTCTTGGTTCCCACCACACAGCCTTTGAGCATGATGAAGTCATTGGTTACCTCACCATAATGGACAAAGCCACCCAGTGGGTTGATGCTCTTGTCAGAAAGGTCATAGTCGGTAGATGCATTGTTCTTGATCAGCTTGCCATCCTTGATAAGGTAGCCCTGACCAATCTTGTAAATCTTCTTGTTGATTTCTGTCCGATGATGGTAGCCTTTCTGCCCAGCCCGAGCCACAGAGAAGGCCACTCGGGCAGGGTGCCAAGCGCCAATACAGGCAACCTTGCGCAACCCTCGATGGGTCTTGCGGGGCAGTTTCTTTGTATGACAACGACTGGTCACCCCTTTGTAGCCTTTGCCTTTTGTCACTCCAATGACATCAATCATCTCATCCTGCCCAAACACCTGGTTCACAGGAACCTGCTGCTCCAGCCTCTCCCGGGCCCAGTCTAGCTTCTCAGCCACAGTGCCCCCATTTAGCTGGATCTCCATCAAGTGTGCCTTCTTCTGGCGCAGAGGAAGCAGACGCATCTGAGTGTGGGCAATTATGCGGATGACCTGGCAGTACTTCTTCATGCTGTTGAAGTCCTTCTCCAGCTGTTTCTTGCCCATGTCATCCTGCCATTTCTTACAGTATTTGGTGAAGGCCTTCTTCTTAGATTTGTGCCAGTTCTTGTAGAACCGCCTTTTACACTCATCACTGATGTGCTCAGCAAATACTGTCTTGAAGGTGCGGAGACCTCGTGGGGTTTCGACGTATCCCACGATGCCCACAACTACCATAGGTGGTGTTTCCACAATGGTTACAGCCTCCACGACTTCTTTCTTGTTTACCTTGGATCCTGTTCTGTCAACCTCTCGGACAATGTGGGGCATGCCAGCCTTGTAGCCTAGAAAGGCTGTGAGGTGAACAGGCTTGGAAGGGTCATCCTTGGGGAAGCTCTTCACTTTCCCACGATGCCTGCTGCTGCGCTTCCGCGGCAAGAAGCCCAAGGACCCATGCCTGGGAGCAGAGAATTTCCTGTGAGACATCTCTCCTCACACGCCGCCGCCGATAGAGCCAAATCTTGTTTTCTTAGGTTTGTGGTTTGGGGTTGGTTTTGTTTCCCCATCATTTTTACTCTAGGCTTAGCTGTTTGACAATAGGAAGCTTTGATCTGCTTGTATCATTCAAAAATATTTGCCTTAAGCAAGAATCATACACTTTTGTTGACTCCCCATGGGAAGCCTTACCCTTTCTGAGGAGTGGATGGGGGTGGAGCAGGAGGAGGGGAGGGAGTGGGAACAGGGATAGATGTAAAATAAGAAAATATTGTATTTAAAAATTCTTAATTAAAAGTAATATCCTTGAAGATAAAAAGATATTTTCCTGAGTGCCACGTCTTTTGCCACTTTCAGTGTAAGCAACACACATGAAACTTCTGCAGGCTACGGGAGGAGGAAAAGGGTGCCACACCCAGGCAAAGCTTCAGGAAGGGAAGTTTTTCTCAGCGGGAATGCCCATCTTAAAGACATTATCTATCAGACATCTGGAAATGTAACGCCAATTTCATCATAACAGAACGAGACTATTTCGTGTCTAGTTTAGGAAAAAGCAAACGGAAAGTGAGCCTCGTGAAGCTCTGTGAAGCATTCTGTGCTCAGGATCGCACAGACAGACCACCTGCCCAGAGCAGGTGCTGCAGTTCAAACAACATCAGCAGGAACTTCCTCGGGTGCTGAACAGCATTTACTTTCAACCTCTGGCTCTGAGCTAACGTATCTATGACTGTGAGGAAAACAGATCTGTTACTTAGCAGACCACTAGGTAAGAATTTTATAATAACAAAAATCGACAGAAGCTATTCCCTTGCTCTGTTCCAACCTGCTTCTCTTATGTCCGTAATTACGTCAATGTAATTGACAAATGCATTATTTTTTCGCCTGACTTTTGCTCTATCGTAACAAACTTCATTTATTCTCTTCCGTGGTGGAAGATAGCAAGCAGAGTAACCTGAATCCATGTTCTCATGCCATGTCCACGCTCACATTTATCTAGAATTAACTATCCCTTACTATCTTTGGAATGAGAGCTACGTTTTGAAGAGATAAACTAAAATTCACAA